AAATATATTTAAGTGCTTTCAATGGTTTATAGGATTTTAAAATGTTATCTTACAGTCCTTTGAAGAAGTCATAGATTTTGTACCATTTCCAAGTCAACTTCAGGCAGGGAATTGAAGTTTTTGATGATGGATGATAAGTGTGTCATGTCTTCTTAATATGTCTCATCATGTCTCACTCATTCTTAAAGAGTATCACTTAGCTGGAATTCATCTTTTTATTTCATATTCAGTTTCTAAAAAAATTTAAAAGTGCACATATACTTGGCATTCCTCTTAGCTAAGGGTTATAATACAAGCCTGAAAAAAATCTTAGTTTTGTTTATACTTCAGTCTGGAAATTTCCTCCATTTTGCTGACTTCTGTGTAATGTGTGAGGGAGGAAAGGAGGTGATGCTCTGGAGTAAATAAGTCAGAATACATCCTTGAGAACTTAGATCACTCCAACACCTACAGCTTAAATGTTTGTTTCTAAACCACTGAGAATTTTACCTTAGTAATGTGGACAACAAATGGCTAAGAACATAACTTTTAAAAGCTTTTATAAAGGCCGGTAGGTATCTTCCGCAAACCTACAAAGGTTCTTGAACCTACCATTATATACAAAACTGGAAAGTTGTTGAGTTCATCAGAAATTAAATGGTCTTTGTTTCATGCACCATGATTTAAGGTACATTTGTTGGTATATCTGGTCAAATGTGATAATCAGAAAAGAGATTTTTAAAAGAAACCCAAAGCTAATAGGTGAACACTAAACAGTGGTCTAAATAATGGTATTGGAGAACTTGTTTCCTGCTATTTGAAAGAAATTATTACTTCATTGCTAGTTTATATTTCTAATTTATCTTCTATAGTCATAGGCTCTGCTGTGCTTTTGTACCTGAATTTCTAAATATAGACTTTAGTTTACTGTGTGCTTGCATATTTATTTTCAACTTTGTCTTTAAAATTGCTTGAGGAAAAATGGTTGTAATTTCTGCTACAGAAGAGCCACCTGGTACATTTTCTCTCATCAAGTTTGTTTTAAACTCTGAAGTATAATTTGATTCAGGAGAGGCTTTTGCAAGGACAGCAGAGAACTGTACAAATGAGCAGCTAGTCATAGAGGTTCTTGTTGAAATGAACTTGCCATTTGATGGTATATGTACAGCTGTACACTTGAGTCTTTTCCAGTTTATTTTCACAGACTAGCAGTTTGACCTGCGAAGCAGTACTGGTTCACTTCAAGCAGCGAAGGTTGACATAGACACCTGGAGGCACCTGTTATTCAGTTTCTCTTTTGAGTGGGTATTTGGCACAATGAGGATAAATTTGTGTGACCCACTTGAATGCCTGATCTAATAATGTTGACATCATGAATCCTGTACTTAGTGAAATGTCAGATGAAGGTAACTGGTGATTGAATAAAATTTTGTTTGTATTGAAGGAATGGGAAAGAATACATAAATCTGTTAATAAAGCACCATGATCTGCAAAAGACAAAATGTTTCATAAAGATCTGAGGAAATAAAGGAATTTAAAGGAAAAACAGGGCAGTCTTAAAATTTTTAGTTACATGGCAGAAAGTACTGTAGCCTGTTTTTAATGTTTGATACTAATGCACAAACATGACAAAACGTCTCTGTGTGTTTTGATACTAATACAATGAAATACAAATATCTCTTAGACGACTGTGTTGAAGACTAAAAATTCAGATTTCTAGGTGTGACCCCAACTTTCGGAGTCTCTGCAGCGTGGGGCCTGGGACTGCAGTTGAACAGCCTCTACATGGGATCCCTGTGCTCTCTACAATTTGGGACCTGATCTAGAAGTAGGGAGCACTTCACTCTGTCCTAAGTAACTGTGGAACCAACTTAGACCCCTCCCTGGACAGAAGAGACTCAGAGTTGGGAACCAGTTAGAGGAAGGTAGAAAATTGATTACTGGGTATCTACTTACGGCCCGGTGCTGGCCATACATTCTCAGATTTAATCAGTATGGGAGAAGTATCTCTTATTTACAAATATGAAACAGGCTTTCAGTGTTGGTTGAAATTTCCCATTATCACTTTTGAATTCACGTAAGTCACAATTTCTCCAGCTTATGTCCAGAAACAGAAATGGGGCTACTCAGTAACTAGTCCTTCATTCTGCTGTTGGCATTCAGTGCTGACTATAGACACTTGATTTACCAGGCTAACGTGAGTTCCCTAGGAGTCTTAGATATCCTATTTATTTTGGCAGCTAATTACATTTTGTCACAGAAGTGAATTTAGTGTAATTATAAACCGTTCAAAGGAAAGAATTTTGTTATTAGAACCTTTTTTCACAGAAGAAATAAAACTTGACTCTAGTGTCTATGTAAGGATGTCTCTCCTTGCTATATGGTTGATTTTGAATATTTTAAATTTTATTCATAGGAAGAGCTGAATAAGAATGCAATTATGGAAAAAGGCAGAAAGGTCCAAGGGCTAAAACTAATCGAACAGGATTTGGTCTAAGGGAAAATAAAGTCTGTGTACTGGAGGTTTTGCTGTGAATATGGATTTCTAAAAAAATTAATCTTGTCAGGGGCACCTGCGTGCCTCAGTTGGTTGAGTGTTGACTCTGGACTTTGGCTTAGGTCATGATCCCGTGGTCATGGGATTGAGCCCAACGTCAGGCTCCTTGCTGAGCGTGGAGCCTGCTGAAGATTCTCTCTCTGCCCGTCTCCTGCTCTCTCAAAATTATTAAAAAAAATGAATCTTGTCAAGTCAGAGTAAGCTACAAATATATTTTTGTAACTGTAACTGCCTCTGGTTTTCCATGCCTGGACCCGAGCACCTAAATTTTGCTGATGTACTGACTAGGCTTTTTCAAAATTAATGGCCACTGAACTCTGCCAAACTTTCTTACAGACCTTCTTGTATGTTCATTTTCTTACTCCTCAAGATAACTATTTCACACCTTGTCTTTCCAGCCCTTCTGCAGTACTTCCCACCGGTTCTACTGCCCTCTGTAAAAAAGAGGCAACCTGACAGCACCTCTCCTCTCACACTACCCCCTCCATCAACCTGCCTACATCTGTTCCCATGTGGACCAGGACTATGATCTCTGCTCAGATCCACTCACTCCACTTCCACTTCCTGAAGGATATTAATCCTGCAGCTTTTCCATCTCTCCTCCATCTCTCTCCTGGGTGATATCCATCGGCATGTTCTGATATTTGGTTTCTTGAAAGAAAATTAGGCCTCATCTCACAACTTCCATTTTCCTGCTTCCTTTTGCAGCAGCATTTGTTGAAAAACTTCATATAGTCCCTGCCTCTTACTCCTTTCCTATTCTCTCAACCCACTCTGGTTGCCTTCCTCTCTCAATGCACCAGTCACACTTGTTAGGGCCAACCAGTGATTTCCTTTTTTGCCAAATCCATGGCCACTTAAAATCTGTATCTTAGTTAACCGCTCCATGGCACTCGGTATTATTAACCTTGCCCTCTGTCCTTGGCAGACTTCTTTGTGCCATTCCAGGCACAACCAGCCAGTACTATAAATCTGTATCTCTGGGCAACCTCATTTAGAGTTGTAGCTTTAAATACCATAGATACTCAAATGACCCCAGAGTATTTATCTCTGGTCCTGACTTCTCACAGTTCCAACTGCCATTTGCCTGTTTGACATCTCAGATATCTAGTAGGTATCTCAAAATACAATAGAACTACTAAGGCAACCATATAATATATAATCAAAACTAGGACACTTTTGAGAATAAAAGATAAAGCTTACCATTGATAATTTTGTCAGGACAAGAACCAAACTAAACTCTTTCCAATGGTTTCCCATCACTCTTAGTGAGATCCTGTTCCTTAGATGGCATCGCGATGCTCTTCTTATCTGGCACTCAATCCTGGCACGGCTTTTACTGGCTGCCATTCTTTTTCCTGAACCTTCCTGTGTAGGTCACCTAACCTTCGGGTAGGTGACTTAACCCTTTCTCTGCCTGCATCGTATCTATAGAACAGTAAATAGTGGTACTCAACTTTAAGGATTCTAAAGCACAGCATGCCTGGCTCTTAGTAGATGCTGCATAGAAATGTCTTTCACTATCCTAAGGAACCAAACAGATTTGGATGGTAAGGGTTACTTGCATTTGCTGAATGAATAAAAACATGGCCTTTTTTTTTTATAGGTTTTTCATTACTTAAGGCCATGCACACATAGCACATAGATGTTTGAATGTCAGAGTCAACTGTTTGGTTGTCTATTTGTTACAGAGTTCAAGCTCCACAGATGAACGTGAGCCAGTCTTTATCTGGGTAATGTATATCTTGGAACAAGATTTAGAAAGAGAAACTTGGAATACTAACTAAAATCAGTACCAACCGTCACACACTTTCCCTTTCAAAGAGCCAGACCTGGATTATCGGAGTTTTCTAAAAAGTTGCCTACTTCAAATGTATGTAAGTTAGATCATTTCACATTTAAGGAATTTTACAATTTTCATAAAAATCCCTAAATTTGTTGTTAGTACTCCTTTGGCATGTCAGGTAAGGGCATGACTTTTCTTATGCCAACTCCTAAGCAATCCTTTTTCTGTTCATAGGTTTGAACAGAAGTCAGATCATAGTACATCTGGGCCCTGTTGCTTGGCAGGCAGGCTGCTCTAAGCTTATTTCCTCGTCTGTAAAATGGGGAAAGTAATGCACGTAAGAGTTCTCTGAGATGGTCAGTTTTAAGCTCACCACACAAATAAGCTCTATTCTTTTTGGATGAGAAATACTTTGTTCTCAAAGGCACTTGCTTATCCCAACCAAGAGACGAAATCAGCTTGCTCTTAAAAAAAATGTATTAGAAGTTTGCTTATTGTTTCACTTAACACTAATCTATAGAATTCAGACCACATTAGAGCGATGTTTCAGAGCTGGTGGTGAGGAAGAAGACAGAGTCTGTGTTCCAGATGAAATGTGCTATTTAAATAAAGATATATCCATACTTTGAATTAAGGGAGTGTACTTGTCAGTATCTTAGAAATGATTCACTCGCAAAGTATCACTCTGATGTGCCATTTACTAGTATAGGAGTTTTTGAAATAGCTCAAAGTCAAAATTACCAACTTTAAAATAAATGCAGTTTATATCTTAAAATACAGCAAGTGAGTCAGAGATTGTCTACTCAGGTGTAACTTAAGACAACTCAGAAGCTAAGCAGTTTCTTAAAATTACTAGTGCCTACAAACTGACTCCAGTCCCTGCTACTCAGCTTCACTCTGCAATGCTAGAAAGCAGCCACAGTCTGCAAGTTACTCTTCAATGTTTAATGGTGCCACAGGGTTAAACAATGGCCTTCCTTTTTTGGCCTGAATTTTGCCGAAGTTAGCCTCAAATTCTTTTTTTGTTCCACTTAGATTTACCAGATGTCCATCCTTTATTCTATAGCCTAGGGAATTCAGTTTCTTTATCCTGTACTGTACTATCTGCGGTGTTAATTCAAGAACCATTGGCGTCTCTTTTATCTGAGCTATGGAAATTCCTTCTTTCAATAATCCCTGAATTCTCTCTTCCAAAACTGGAACAGAATAATATAAAATGGCAGGACATTTCAAAACTAATTGCTTCAGGTCATGATCTGTGCATTTAAAAACATTTTTAGAGAAGGAAATGCTGTTCTGTATACTTCTGGGGCAAAGGTGAAAAAGAAATCCTTTGAGTTTGGAGAGAAGCTGGAGAATATCAGAGTTTGTGAAACCTTGCTCCTGGAGAAATTCTAGTGTTTCCTTTATAGCTGCAGAAGAATTCAGCAAAATAAATGGGTTTTGGCTTAGTAATTTCAGTAACCAAACTTTCACGTTGGCCTCGGAGCCACCTAAATTTAGGTAACTCTCTTGGAGAATACTTATCATTTGCTTATTTTTCTCAATAGGATTATGAAAAACATTAGATGCAGTTGTCAAAAACCTGCTAATGACCACATTTTTGAGTCCCAACTCTTGAAAGAACTGAATGTTCAGCTTCTGAGTTTCCTGGTCTGTAACAGTAAAGAAAGATTCTGGAAACTGTTCTATTAACCTGACTAACTCTTGCTCATTTTTGCAGACCAACTGCCAGAGTTCTCTCTGGGCGTTAACAGCCGTTGGACTGCAGACAATAGCTTCCGGGCAGCGTTCCAAAATACTGGCTACAGCGGTTTCATTAGCACCTAGTTGTTGTAAAACATTTGCGATTTCTTCAACATAGGTTTCATCCTCAAAAAGTACCCATCCTTTTAGTCTGCGAATTTTCCTGATGTCGACTGAAAATTTATAGAGCTTTTCCACTGTTCTTTTATTTTCTTTGTTTGACTGATGATCATTTGTATAGGTGAAGCACGCTAGAAAGGGTCTGTATTTTGGAGCCGATAGCATCTTTCTGAAAGAACACAGCCTGCAGGGCTGGGATCTTATCAGCAACTTCCACAACATGCCTGCAACCATTGGCTAATTGCCACCGTCCTGGGACTCAGAAGGTACTTATTGCACCTGTAAGAAAGAAAATGCAGGTTTTAACATATGGAGCACAAATTTGGGCTGTCAGTAGTAAGCACAGAAATAACACGGATGTAAATTAGACAGGAAAACTGAATTTTGCCAAAGTTGGCTTCAAACTTTTTGTGGAATATTACATATATCTTCTTAAATGTATAAAGTAACTAACATACCTCATCACAACTTAGACATCTTCTACACTATAAACATTGTGTGCTTTGCCACAACCTTGTGAAGTAGTTTCCATTTTACAGATCAGTAGTAAGGCCACAAACAGTTCAAAGATTCAAAGACCTCAAATGTCATTCTGATACAAATTCCCTTTTCTACAACTCGTTATGTTTTTCTTTAGGAGACATATTTTACTAATACACACACACACACACACACACACACACACACACACACAGCTTTTGTTTTTTTTTTTTTTTAACATTTTACATTTTCAAGTTTATGTTTAGCTGAAGCAAATACTTATGGGGGGGAGTCATCTCTAATTTTATATTGTAGAGTAAATACTTTTGCTAAATAATTATTACCCAAAGTCATTTTATTGAAAATAATAAGTGTAAGCTTGTTTTGTCAGAATTATGTGAAAATCCTTTTCATAAACCTAAAATTAAAGTAAATCTTAGCTAGGCAAAATGAGAAACGCTGTGACTGCCCCAGTGGAGCAGTGGGCAGTCACACTAAGTGGAACGGGGTCCATACTTGCACAATAGTCTAACCAGCTGCCCCCACTTGACAGCTTTACGTAGCTAGAGATGGCTACACTGTGCTTCCTGCATTATCCACTTCCGTGCTATTTTCTTGTTATTCTCTGGTAATTAAAGCATGCCTAGTTTACTGTTTGAACTTTCAGCACGCGAGAGTGGTTAAGTGTCACATCCCTGGCATAAAAGCATGTAGTGCTCAACTATTTAGCTAGTTAACAGCCTTCCTTATTATTTGTAGGTTTGAAGGAAAGTTGAAAAAAGCCATAGTCCAATCCCGGATAGTTGTGAAAACTATTTAATAATGCCATTGCCACATATGCCAAGGACTTTTCACTTTCAAGCCTGTCCCAACTAATGCAAATAAATCACTATTCTCTAAGGAAAAATAACAAGTAACAATATTCTCATTTTGGTTTACCATTTGTAATAATAGCTCATTGTTAGTGTCCATGGTGTCTAAAATAACTGTAGGCGTAGTTTCTGTTTTACTTCGAGTGGTTCAACCAGTTTTTTTTTCTTTTTAATGTAATTCCTAATACTAGTTTCCTTTAGATGATTCCTAAAGAGCCAAGATATAAATATTAGGCTATTTTATAAAATTTCTAAGAGGACCATGGATTTTAACAGGAAGGAAGAGGGAGATACTGCATAATGATGGGCACATGGAGCCCCACACCCCACAATCTTGGGCCTCACATCTGTACCACAGGCTGGAAGGAGCATGGACTCCGTAGCCAAGATGCCCATGTTCAGTCCTGGTTCTAATTTATGGGGTCATCTTGGGAAAGTTACTTAGCCTCAGATTAAGTATGTAAACAAGTAGTGACTAGAACAGTGTCTCACAGTAAATGTTCAATACTACTACAATATAGTAAATGTACTACTACTCCTCAGGATCATCTGTAAAATAGAGACAACTTTAACTTGACATAAACTTTACAGGAATACCGTGAGGGTTCAAATGCATGTCCAGGACTATGCACAAAGCCTGGTACATAGTAAGTACTCAATAAATAGTAGCCATTACCAGGAAATATCTGGAGCTAAAATTCTTGTAGTAATAGGAGTTTAAATTGTATTTTAGACAGAAGTACATTATTTACAAAGAGTAAGTGAAAATTGTGAAAACTATTTTAAATGCTTCGGTCGTCCCAAGTGACAGTTTATAAAAGCAATACGTTCTCACTTCAGAGGATCTGCCCAACTCTGAAAAGAATAAGGAAGTGGAAAAAGTCACAACTCTATACCACCTATAGACAACTGTTCATATCTGACATACATGTCTGTTTTTTTTTTCTGATTCTTGCACCCTTTATTATAATTTTGAACTACATACAAGCAAGGTTACCTGGTATATGAGAATTAGGGTGTAAGCTCAGCCTACAATTTGAAATTGTGAAGACTCAGAATTTTTCTTGAAAATGTCTTAAACCGGCACCACATTAAATACCAACATAATGTCTTCTAGGGAAGTCCAGTCCAGCAAGGGGTTCCTCAAGCACTGGAGCAGATCCCAGTGTTTGGCTAAGCACCAGAAGAAATAGTTGGCTTAGTGTGGGGGTCACATTACACAAAATGACAGACTAAACACTAGCACCACACTGACCACAGCAAGATGCTCCTGCCCAATGAGGCTGAGGGTAAAGCAGGCCGTCTCACATTTCCTGCTTACTCCAGGGTGAACTATCATGTACGTGCTCAGGTGGGTTGTCTCATAATTAAAGCTGCCTGTCTTGCTCTTTCTTTCTCTCTGATGAGCAAACACAGTTGATGAAGAAAAGTGAAAAGCACAAATGTTGTGAATCCTCTGTAATTAACACACATTTATATATACACAGTTTATTTATTCTTTTTTTTTTTTTAATCCACTCTAAGTATCTAAACTTGGCATCAAAAACACTCTAAACATTTAAAATGAGCACATCACATATGGGATAGATATAATTTTGTGATTCATTCCGTAACATCAAGTATGCTATTATTTTCTTTTAGAATGAATTCCTAGGAATGGAATTATTGAAGAGGAGTATGTGAACATTTGAAAAGCTAGGTTGTTACTTTATAATCCAGAACAAATGTCAGATGACCTTGTCACAAGCAGTATGACTGATTTTCTCGTTAGTTTTAATTCTATTTTGTAAAAAATGAACACAACACTAATTTAACTTTGTTTTCTTGTATTAATGAGGCAGAGCTTAATGAATTATTTTGACCATCTATTTCCTTTAGTGAATTAGCTATTCCTGCCTTAAAAAAAATTTTTTTTTTTAGTGTTTGTTTCTTTTTGAAAGAGAGAGAGAGAGAGAGAGAGAGAGAGAGAGACAGAATCTGAAACAGGCTCCAGGCTCTGAGCTGTCAGCACAGAGCCGGACATGGGGCTTGAACTGGTGAACTGAGAAATCATGACCGAAGCCGAAGTTGGACCCTTAACTGACTGACTCACCCAGGTGCCCCTATTCCGGCCTTTTTAAATAGCAATCTTTCTGCTTTTTAAAAATTGACTTACATAAACTCTTCATATATTAAAAAAATAATCCTCTTGTTTTTGGAAAGATTTTCTCCAGTTCACTTTTAGTTGTTGAAGGTACATTCCAGCATACCAAAATGGTTACTTTTTTTTTATTGTGCTAAGATATAAATTTTTCTCATTTAACTTTTTAAAAAAATTTATTTACTTATTTGTTCAGAGAGAAAGAGTGTGCGCAAGCAGGGAAGGAGCAAAGGGAGAGAGAGAGAGAATCCACAGGCTTGATGCTCAGCATGGAGCTCGATGCAGGGCTCGATCCCATGACCCTGGAATCATTACCTGAACCAAAATCAAGAGTCAGACACTCAACGGACAGAGTCACCCAGGCACCCCCCATTCTTACCATTTTTAAGTATACAATTCAGTGGCATGAAGTAAATCCACAATGTTGTACAACCACTACCATGATTTCCAGAACTTTCTCATCACCCCAAACACAAACTCTATTCCCATAAAACAGTAATTCCCCACTCCTTCCTCCTCTCAGCCCCCTTGTAACTTCTATTCTACTTTTGGTCTCTAGGAATTTGCCTATCCTTGGTACTTCATATCAGTGGAGTCTTACAATATTTGTCCCATTGCATCTGGCTTGTGTCACTTAGCATAATGTCTTCAAGGTTCATACATAATATAGCATGTGTCAGAACAAAGTGGTTAATTTTAAGTGGTCGAAGGGTCATGGAAGTTTCCCTTGATGATTCCTACTGCTTTATGCACTACATGATGACAAAAATTCACCCATATGTCCTTCTATATTTTTGTTTGATTTAAAAAAGACAGCTCCTTGGGGCGCCTGGGTGGCGCAGTTGGTTAAGTGTCCGACTTCAGCCAGGTCATGATCTCGCGGTCCGTGAGTTCGAGCCCCGCGTCAGGCTCTGGGCTGATGGCTCAGAGCCTGGAGCCTGTTTCAGATTCTGTGTCTCCCTCTCTCTCTGCCCCTCCCCCGTTCATGCTCTGTCTCTCTCTGTCCCAAAAATAAATAAACGTTGAAAAAAAAATTAAAAAAAAAAAAAAAGGCAGCTCCTTTAATTCACTTTAAATTTCTGTTATGAGCGGCAAGTCTAAACAGATTATCAACAGTTTGGCTATCTCCAAGCACTGTTTTTGAACAGTCCTTTCCTTCCCCATGATTTGTGAGGCCTCCTTTACTACACATTAAATGTAGCTTTGGGGCACCTGGGTGGCTCAGTTGGTTAAGCATCCAACTCTTGCTTTTGGCTCAAATCATGATCTCACAGTTTAGGAGATCAAGTCCCAAGTTGGGCTCTGCACTGACAATGTGGAGCCTGCTTGGGACCCTCTCTCTTCCTCTCTCTGTCCCTCCCCAGTTCATGCTCTCTCTCCCCAAATAAATAAGCATTAAAAAAAAATGCAGCTTTTCATTCTACCTAGCTTCCATCCTCAATTCCCTATTATTTTGCAAGTCCCTGAATAAGCCAGGAAGCTAATTTCTTTGCTGCATACTTGGCCCCCTCTGCCAGACCATTATAAAACAATCTCTGGGGCAACTCACTCTTGCACATCCCTCACCAAGGATGTCAAATCTCCTCAGCTTGGACCTCTAGCTTCCCTCAACCCCTATTCTACTCTCAACCAATGCTCTTGCCTCTAATCTGTGCAAAGAAAGGAGAGCAACTCATCACACCAAACTTAAATCTTCTGGTATCTCCCCTCCGCTACAAGTATACCCTTCAGTATCCAGGGTAATCCCTGCTCCTGTACTGATCCCAACCTGTCCGGCCTGAGACATCCAGACCCTTTCTTCCTTGTAAAATCACTCTTTCAGTTGTCCTCCTCTCTGGGGCTCCCACCCTTCAATTCAAAGTCTCTTCTCACTGCCACTCCACCTCAAACCCTATTTTCTCTTACTCTCAGTTAATTCTCACAGATCTTTCTTTTCTCTCCATTTCCTCCCCTCCTCCCTACATAGATCCCAATAAAGACAATTTCCATGTGACTAAAGCCAATGAGCACTCTTAGTTCCTCTCTCTTTTGACCTCTGCAGCTTTCAGCACAGTTGGCCACTTTCTCCACGAAATATTCTCTCACCTGATTTCCAGGACTCCCCGTCCTCCCAGTTCTCCCCCTTCCTTCCTCCACTCTGACTTCCCTTTATCTGTCTCCTTTGCAGGCCCATCTTCAAGACTTGATTTAGACCCTCTCCCCTTCTTACCTTACAGTTTCTCTTTAGAGATCCTGTTTTCATCCAGGGCTTCAGTTAATCACTTGAGCTTCTCTCCAACTTCTCAAAATGTGATCTTGTCATGTCCCTGCAATAAACTTTTCAGTGGCACTTTAGGATAAAGACATAAAACAAAATAAAAATGCCTTATACCATGGCCTAAAAGTCCTCTCTGTCTGGTCTCTGTCACCACCTGAATCTGTGCCTGCACCTTCCCCAACTCCCCCCCTCCCCCCGCCCCCGGCCAAAAAAAAAAAAAAAATCCACCAGTTCTTTTCAGTCTCTGGTGCTCTACACGTTCACACCACAGGGTCTTTGAAGACTGAGAGCTGTTCCCCATGCCCAAAGTACCCCTGTCTAACCGCTAGGTCTGTCACTTTCTTAGACCTCCTTGACTTTCATAAACAGATGAAGCCTCCTGCCCCCATTATAGGCTCTCACAGCACCAAGGACTGCTCCTTGGTGCCACTTGTCATTGTTGCAGCTGTTCATGTGTTGTTTCTGTCACCCTCCATGAGAGCAGAGACTGGTCATCACCATGTTCCAATGAATTGCTTCCCTACACTTCACTAGACTGGCATTTGCTAACTCTAAGAGGCTGGGCAGGTGGACCTTTGTGTGTGCTCTTCCACAGCACCCTGCTCTTGACCCTAACTCCTCTAAGTTCTTCACCCATTCAACCAGTTTTTTTCTTTTTCTCTTTTTTTAAGCTCATGCTGTGTTGTTAGACATTACACTAGACACTAGCTCTTCTGCTAAAATGTTTCTTCATACCTTGGTATCACAAACAGCACTGGAGAACCTAGTGAGAGCCACAGACTCTCTGCAAGCACTGGGAGGGCAAGGTCTGTGTGCCGTTCTGCTCTGTCTCTCGCACCCAGCAAAGAACTTGGTCCACAGGGGAACAAAATCAGTATTTGTTAACTGAAACTAAACGAAGAAACCAAGTTGGTGAGGCATCCTAATGTGGTGGCTAAAACTGTGATCTGTATGGGCTTAACTCCTGGTCATTAGTTGTGCTGTGACTTAAGGAAGTCATGTCACCTTTCTGAGCCTCAGTGGGGAGTGTCAGGAAAACCGGGACCCTACATCCTGGGTGCCTGTGAATTCTAAATTGGGCTAATACCATAAACTACTTACAGAGTATTCAGAAAATTTATTAAGTTATCACAACCACCCATTTTAATTTTTTTTTTTAATGTTTATTTTTGAGAGACAGAGACAGAGACAGAGAGACAGAGCATGAGTGGGGCAGGGGTAGACAGAGAGGGAGACACAGAATGCGAAGCAGGCTCCAGGCTCCAGGCTCCGAGCTGTCAGCACAGCTCGGATGCGGGACTCGAACTCATGAACTATGAGATCATGACCTGAGCCAAAGTCGGAAGCTCAACCGACTGAGCCACCCAGGCGCCCCAACAACCCATTTTAAAGATGAAGAAACAGATGTAGGTAAAGTAACTTGCCCAGGGTTGCTCAGCTAACAAAGGGCAGGCCTTGGATTTAAACCCAACAACTTGGTTCTAGGGTACAGCTCTTTCCCTGTGCCCTACACAGTAATAATGCTCTTAGCAAATGTGTGTTAGTTAAGTCACAATGTGGGCTATTCTGAAGCATTTCTCAGGAGTGAAATGCACAATTTTCATCCTTAACAGTCCCCTCTACAACACCAGTAATTTCAATTAAGTTCTACCTTTATAACATGTATGATCTGCTGACAGTTTCAAATTAACCCCAGTGTTTATAGGTAAAAGCGAGGACCGAAGGAAAAGACTCTCTCGGGCAATAATCCACAGCCACACATCCATCTCGTGGGGCCCGCGCGTTTCCAGAGAAACTTCTGACCTACGGCGCCGAGACATCCACCCCCGCCAGGCAGACGGAGTTGGGCTACCGAACAGGAGACTGGTTTCGCCGTGCGCGGCCCAAGGTCCCCAGCTCCTGGCCCCCGCCAGTCGGCCCCTGCGATTCTGGTGGTGCTCACCCCCAGGGGCGGAGAAGGCGTTGGGACTCACCTGTCCGCTCCGTTGAAGACACAGTCGGTCCCGGGTCTCTGGCTCCGTCCTTCCTCCCGCCCCCCCCCCCCCCCAGAAGGTTTCCCCTGGTGGGCCGTCTTCCCCAGACCTGGGAACAGGATCAAGGTCCCGAGACCAGGGTCCCAAGAAGCCGGCGAATTTCCCTCAGGAGTGCCACCCAGGCCACCAGCCCCTCTACCCACAGCCAATCACGAAGCAGGAGACCTGAGAGCCCCCCCACCCCAGACGTGAGCTCGCAGACGTATGTCCCCGGATTCCCAACGCAACCAATCAGGGCGCAGGACACAGGTTACGTGACCCTACGCAAAGCGGGGCTGCGCGGAGGAGGCCTGCCAGCGTGGGAATCAGCTTTCCTGGGAACAGAGCCAGGAGCCAACAATTACTGCGGCTGTTTTCACACCCTTTCCTTACCAGCATTTAGGAAACGGGAGTTCCGGTCGTTTTGTCCCTTGAGGAATGTCACCAGCCCATAAGAAAAAATGTAGAATTCAGAAGCCGCTGTGTCTTTAAGCAATAGCCATTTAGAATTCCCAAAATAATTCCATAGGAAAGAACTAATTTATAAAAGAAATGTAGTCAAAAC